GTTAGTTTGGTTTAAGGTCAGGCTACCAATTACTTTGTCATTGTGATTCCTTAATCAGTGATGTTGGCCTGTACAATAGACCTAATGCTTAGGAAATGGTTCATGATTGTTTGAATCTAGACTTGTGCTATTAATCAGGTTTCTTTTCATGACACTTGCTTTGCCTCATCTCTAATTGCAGGCTCATGTTGAGAGTAGTTGGGTTTAGTCAAAACTGTTGTGAATTAAAACTTGTTCTATAGTGTGTGATTCCCTTTGTTTGCAATTCATATTGTCGATTACCTGCCTAGTTGGTCATCAAGAGGTCTGCTGGTCTTTCAAAACTGAAGTTTTGTAATCTGTCCAGTTGAGTTAGGAGTCAGTTGTTAGGAATTTGATAGTTTGAATTGGTTATAGCTGAAGGGTTTGGTACAGATTGAAAGGGGTTCATGTAGGATAATAGTTTAGGGCATCAGGGGGTAATTTGGACTTTAAATTTGAAATTCTGCCAGTAGGTACTAATGTGCCATTAAAATAAGGCATTTGTTTAATAATAGTGGGATGGGAAACATAACAGTATGGGGTTTAAAAGAAATGGGCAAGTTGAAGGTTCTGTCCACTAAGTACTAAAGTACCATTAAACTAATGAATTGTTTAAGTGCTAATGGGGAACAAAACATAATGGTAGGGGAAGGCTTAAAAGGGATTGATTAAAATATGTTGCCCATGCCTGTTGAGCATTAAATAAGGAAAAGACAAGGGGTAATGGGGAAAACATACTCTAGTGGGGTACTAAAGAAAATCATGGGCAGAATTAGTTGAAATATTCTGCCTAAGTGCTTTTGAGAACTGGCAAGGTCAGTTTTTTGGGGTATAAGTGGAGGGACTGAGGACAGAACTAGAGTCAGACCTTAAGGAAGAAAAGGAGAACAATCTGAAGAGAGGCTTTTCGAAATTAGACTAAAAGGTGATACAAAAAGAATATCAGAAAATATAGAAAAAAAGAGAAGAATTAGTCCTCTTAGGTTCTGCATTTGATCCTTCTTTAACCAGTAAAAATAGCATTGCAAGCTTGAAGTAAAGTGCCTGATTTTCAATTGTTGGGGTGTAGTTTCCAGTTTCAAGTCTGTTTACTGGAGTGTTTGAGGTCCAATTAGTTGCCCGGAGTTATTTGTTGTTGTTGTTTGGTTTCACAACTGGTTATGAGCTGTGGTCAAGTGTTTTTCTAATTTGAAACTAGGTTTGGAGATGTGACGTGGTTCGAGATGTGTTTTCACGACGTTGCAATTCTCATTAAAAATAATAATACTAAAAGCGGTAAAAAGTTAAAATTTGCGCATAGGTTCAACATGTATTAAAATCAGATGAATAAGCCGAATATGACATTTGAGCGACCGTGCTAGAACCACGGAACTCGGGAATGCCTAACACCTTCTCCCGAGTTAACTGAATTCCTTATCCGGATTTCTGGTTCGCGGACCGTAATACAGAGTCATTTCTTTTCCTCGATTCGGGATTCAACCGGTGACTTGGGACACCATAGATCTCTCAAGTGGCGACTCTGAATCTTTAAATAAAATCCTGTTTCGATTGTCCTTTAATTGGAAAAACTCTCCCTACGCCCCTGCGGGCGCAGTGTAAAAAGGAGGTGTGACAAGCCCTTCGGCATTTGAGGATAGTTTTTAGGGCTGTTTCTGCCAGCTGATGTTGATTATAGGAGAAAAGACTGACTTGGGTTTACATTGTGGCTATTCTTGTGAAAATAGCCTTTCGGCGTCCCAAGAGAACGTTTTAAGGCTATTTCGACAAGAACGGCCCCGGGTGATGATCATGTTTCAAAAGATTCTTATTTTGGCCAGTTTTGCAAAAATGAGGTCGGACCTGATAGGGGTTGCCTACGTATCTCACATCCGGTAAGAATCAGACCCGCATAGTTCGGTAAGCGTTGACATAACAGAAAACCTGACTTTTTGAAACTACTTGGCTTATTTATGAAATGACTTTCTTTTTCATTTTTTTTTCAAAATTTCGGCAAAGTTTCGGGTTTTTTCAAATACTTGGAATCGGGTAAGTTTCTCTCTCCTCCCTCTTGGTTTTTCTTGATTTTCTTTCCCTATTCTAGAAGTCGGTCAACATGCAAGCCGAAACAAATAAATGCACAAGTAGCACATAAAAATGCATCAGGATGGTCTTTTAATTTGGGTACAACTGTCCTAGATGGAGTCAACCCCTGTGTTGAGTCCCCAAAGCCAAATGCACGTGATGCAAACAAACGTACCTACTACGAATCTGGCATGAGGCTATGTCATTCTAAGTTTAGATCTTGGGTGTATTGTTCTAGACCTGGCTTACCCGAACGGACAACTCGAGCCGAGGGGGGCACCGGCTTTGCAATTTGTTCGATCCTCGTTCTAAAATTAGGGTATGACTCTAACAGAAAAGAAGTCACGCGAAGTGCACGCTTCCCAGAAGATTTAGAAGACTCAAAGAGAAGAAGGGTGTCGTAACAGTTTTATATATAGTTCAAATAATATCAAAGCGACATTTAACACATTAAGCTCAAACACGTAAAAAATCAGATAATAAACAAAAGCCAAGTATCACAGTTATTCTAAGCTCGAATTCTGAACCCTGAACCAGAGATTCTAAGTTCGCTCCCCAGCAGAATCGCCAGAGCTGTCACACCCTTAGTAATCAATATCATCATGTCAACAGGTAAAACAAAGCACTACTACTTGGAGGACATTAAGTAGACCAACCTTTAGATCCACACGACTCTCAGCACTCTCAGCCACCAAATCATCAGAGATAATTCTGTGATCAAACAAGAACTTCCGTAGTGCCATTTTAAGAGCAATTTCAATTGCAGTAGAGCCATTATCCGAAAAGTACACTCTTGAAGCCCACCCTATCAAAACAATGTTGTTCAAAAACTAATCTTAGTGCAGTCTGGAAGTATTTTAACATAATTAAGGCATACTACATTACCACCAAACATGAAACACAGTCAAATGGCACACAACACTTGCTGCAATTTGGACACAGTCTAACTAAAACTTTGGACCGCAAAAAATCTAAGAAATACCCATCTGGACAATTGGAAAGAAAAAAAAAAAAAAAAGGAATTCAGTATCCTTCTTGCATGGACATCATGTAGATTTAGTTTTTCAAGGTTAATGAACAAGCATACAGGAATTGTTGACAAAAATCCATCAAAGACCATTTGCTCTATGTTTAGGCTGCATTAAGATGTGTTGCATTGGTGTCAACTGTAAACTTAAGCATCTGAACCACAAAGCAGGAACATAGATAAAAATTGACAGGCAAAGCTAGGCAGGGAACAAATGTAAACGTCAGCAAAAAATTTAAAAGACAGACAGAAAAAGCACTACTCTTTTGCCAGAAAGTGTTGATTATAATTATGCAGATAACACAAGCGAAGAACAACTAGTTTTATTCTTGAGCTTCAACTTTCTCTTTGAGTTTGAGGAGGAGATCCTGATTTTCTGTTCTGCTAGTGTTTGGTACAAAAGTCACGTGCAGAAATTAACCTTCATATAAAGAAGAGAGCTGTCAACTGTCCTAATTAGTAGGTTTATCTGGTCCAGCGATCAAGTGAACTAACAGAATGTTTGAGCCTATAACAGCTCAAACACTCTGAGTTCTTAGTAAGAAAAAAATGATATAAGCAGAAAAATTAGATCAATGCATTCCTTAAACCTGACAAGTGGTGTTTAGCAGCTTATGTTTTGATAGTTAGAATTCTTGCCAAACATGGAGGCTAAAGCAAATTACACATTGATAAAGATGTGAATAAATTACCACATGACAAAATTGCTGCATAAATTTGCAACATGGTCCCTCAAAGAACTGTAATCAATGGAAACTACAAAAACTTAAATGAATTATAAGAGAGAATTCCTCTCCTATATGATATCTCATGGAGAATACATAGTTTCAAAGATAAGAACATTGATTAAGCCCCAGTTCGCAGATGTCCCTAAGAAATGAAAATGCATGCATGGACAGGGTTTGAAAGAAAAACCTTTTCCCACGCCTTCAAGCAAAAGTTCAGCACATTCCAGAGCCGGTTCATAGACATTTTCAGGAAACATTACATGCCCATATCTAGCAGTAGCGTAACCCACATCTCTGGCAAGCTCAATCTGAAACCATCTAAAGACAAACAGTGCAAAATGGAGTTACAGCATGCCCCATCTGACATTCCTAATTAGCCACATATGACCCAAAATCATCCAAAAGGACTCCTTTGTAGAAGGAATTGCTGCTATAATTAAAATGTGAACTAAAAAATGTCAGATCAATCCGAAACACCATGATGGAAGTTTGATCTACCTAATTGTCGAATTTGTCGCATTCTCTTATTGTTAAGATAAAAATGTTGACAATCCCACATATACCTTCCTCACAAGTAAGATAAGTAATATTAATACTATTCCTGAGTGGATCTTATAAGGGACAAGATCAGAAAGGCCTAAGATCTTCAAGCTAGCTGGTTACTGTCTTCTTCATTGCCTTAGCTGATAAAGCTTGGCTTAGACCCAGTCAGTTCCTATAACAGGAAACCCCTCTTACTTGGAAAGAGTCCTTACTCCACATAGATAAGAAGTGTTGTATAAATGTACTATGAACTAATATTTTCCAAACAAGGTGATAACATAAGGATTTTCTAATTAAAAAGAAAAGGTAAAAGAAAAATCAGACATTGCAGCTATATTCGTACATTTGAAAGAAAAAAAACTCGCATAAACTGAATTGGACTAAATGAGTGCACCAAGGTTTAAGGCATTCAAATTACAATTGCGTTAAATCACAAGGTGTTACATCCTACTCTCCTAGAAAATTGTTCCCATAAATCGTAGTGTCCCATCATAGACGTCTTCATTCTCCTTATTCACTATTCGAACACAAACATGCACATGCCACAGAATCGTAACAGAGATTTGCTATAAAACAATCATAAAGGTAGGCTAAATTGCAACTAATAAGGACGAATCTACAGACTGACCTGTAAAGTAGCATCAGGTCCCTGCGTCCACCAACTTGCACAAGCATCAAATTGTTGGGTGATTAAATCAACTTTATTAACCTACAGTAAAAGCATTAATTTAACCAATGTGTAAGTGGAAGGGTAACACGCAGCATAGGAAAGGAATAGTAAATATTCTTTCCTCTCCCGGTAGATATAGCCTAAGTTGCTCGGACTCGGGTGCGGGCATCCGATACGGGGACAGCTCCGAGTATTGGATTCGGCAAAATCTAAATTTTAAGATTCGGGGTGCGAATCCGTATATGGATACTTGTGCGGGGATACGGCTAAGAAAATTCAAAATAATAAAAAATAGAGCTATAAATTTGTACAACTAGTAAATAATTTCGTATAAATTAATTTTGCGCGATTAAAATATATAAATTATTTAGCAAAAAATCAACATGCTAATAATTAATTTAGAAATTATTCCTATATATTGTATGAGAAGAAATATTTGCAAATAACAACCAAAAACCTGTCAATAACGTGTCACAACTCACAAGTGTGGAGAATAAAGGGGACAAGTGGCATATAACGGAGAATAAAGGGGTTACTTATTATTATATTATTACAATTAAGAGTCTTTAGGAAGGATCTACCGATCTTCTAGGTCATCTTCCTCAAAACTCCCCAACTTCTCATCTTCCTCAAAATTCCCCTACTTCTCATCTTCCTCAAAATTCCCCAACTTCTCATCTTCCTCAAAATTCCCCAACTTCTTTCAAGCTCGTACAGATCGCCATTCACGCTTCGTTCACGTCCCTTTTGTTCTTCCCTCATAAGAGAAAAAGAAAGCAATTCAAGGCAAAATTCCAGCTACATCTGCTAGGTCTACATGAAGTCCAAAATCAGAACATGACACTTTGAATTTTTGGTTTCTTCGACACACAAAGCAGCAAATATGAGACAAAAATACTACAACATTAAAGGTATGCCATTTTCCATAACTTAAATCTTTTTAATTTTTGATTTTGAGAAATCAAAATCTCAATTTTTTCTCCCAAATTTGTCGATGGACTCCGGTCAAAGTGTCCGAAGTCGGTTGACCGTATCCGAGACGTTTCCTGCTTCAGCACCCGTCCAAGTCTCGTATCGGGATGGGGACGGCACCAAAATTGAAGAGTCCGTGCAACTTAGGATATAGCATGTAGATGGACACAGTTATGACATCATAAAGAAGATCGAAGAGGAAAACTAGAACAATATCAGCAAGATTGAAGAGTCCGTGCAACTTGGGATATAGCAGATAGATGGACACAGTTATGACATCATAAAGAAGATCGAAGAGGAAAACTAGAACAATATCAGCAAGATTGAAGAGTCCGTGCAACTTGGGATATAGCAGATAGATGGACACAGTTATGACATCATAAAGAAGATCGAAGAGGAAAACTAGAACAATATCAGCAAGAACACTATCACTAATATGTAGATATGCATCAGTCAAAGAGCTTTAGCGCACACTTTTCTTACCATTGACTGCTGAGCATGAGCTTTTAAAAGTACTATAGAAATGAACAAAATGCTAGATGACAAGAAACAAAACCATTTTCATAACTTTAAGTAACATTCACAACCTTGTGCACGGCAAAGTTTTCTCCACATCGTGAATCTATAACCGTAACATTTTCTTCTGGTACAAGTTTGTGTTGAGTAAAGGGCCACCAGAAAATATCATGTGCCTTCCTTGGCATGTTGCGTAATCTAGATGCTCTCTCCAGAAAAGCTGACTGCATTATTTCTTGAAGAGAATGAAAAGTAGGCAGTGCTTCTTGAAACCACTCCATTAGGTTATTTGACATCTCCTTCGGTATAGGTGGAAGCACAAGCACGGGGACCCTGTCAGCCAAGGAAATAAGCTTTCTGCTCCTTTTATTTCACAGTGAAAATACACGGAACAAAATTGGATGATATACCCATCTATACATTAGTCTCTAAACTGAAGCATTAGAATGTAAAAGTGACAGTGCCTATTTTATGGTGTTAAACCACCTATATCTTCTACTAAAATACAAAAGACACATTTAAGCCAATAGAAAACAACTTTAGATTCACCTTCTCCGCAGGTAAGATGATAAAGGACCCTCATTAACTAGGCCATGGTCTTCAATTACTACAGCAACAACATCATAACCTCGAAGTTTCAAACTTTCATAGCCTGAAATAGTTCCTGAAATACCCCCTAGCTTTCCATCGCCGACAAGAATAGCTGGGAAGCGGAAAGGTCTGCAAAAGCAGAAATTAATATAGAAATAAAGGAAATTGGCTGCTGAGTCATAACAAGTAAAGTGAGAATCTGCCAAAAAAAAAAAAAAAAAAGCAGTTACATTTGAAACTTAAATGTTGTAGTCTCTAAAGTATTTGCTTACAAGAGTAAAAGATACTAATATTGTTTTATTTGAAACACATCTAATTCTCTACGACTTTCCCAAGCAAGTATTCAATTATAGATGATTCGATAACCAATAAACGAAGATCTTCCTTGCACCATTATAAGGTTGAGAATCCACCTCTGCAATTCTTATTCATCTTAGTTTTGAATAATGAACAGTGTGAGTAGCATGTATCCTACAGCCAAGCACATTTCTATTGTTTGTCTTCAGTTTCCCAATGATCCCTTCTTAAAAGGTGAAGTAGCTTAGCGAACTTTGACTCTTTGCATCTCTAGTGGGGTCTGTAACCATGGATTGCTACTTTAGGGGTTCAAAGCAAGAGAAGATAGCTAGATTATGCTAGAAGTCTTGACAGTCACATTGCCTCCTCTGTAATTTTTCTTGTCAAGTAATCCCCTTTGCCAACTCAATTCAACAAAAAGTAGTCAGATGGGTCAATACTGACATAGTGCCTTGTTGCAGAGGTTGCCTATTTTCAAAAGGCATCTCTCTAACTTGGTCACCAAGAACATTACTTTAAGGAATAGTGCTAATCACTGTTAGGAATGTAAGCTGGGTTTTTAGCCTAGGTAACTGACTAGATTCTACATTTGTGCTTTTGCTTACATATGTACAAAGCTATAACACTATCAAGGAGGCTTGATATTTCTGTTTTTTCTTACATATGCACAAGCAACTATAACATGTCAAGTAGGCTTGATATTACAGCACTCTTAGCATCAAGCTCATAACACTTCCACCAAGTGAATCACTCTATCATTAAGTTCATTATACTTCCACCAAGTCAAAGCTTCACATAATGTATGTTTTTATTTTTCAAGATGAGGACTAACATGTGTACGCTTCCTATTGGATATATCCTTCCAAATATATTCTCAATTACAGAATCAAATTTTTACATAAATACTTCATTTTTCAGCAGTTAATCCTCTTGGCATATAGAAAGTTAATATTTTTTGAAGGAACACTCAAAGAACCACGCACCGATACAAGTCACATTGAAGCGAACCAGATGGTCCAGGACTAGCAACGCCACCAGCAGTCTCGATCACACAAAAAACCTCATCCTTTTCACCACTTTCCATTTCATCAATTTCTAAGCAACCCTTCAACATCTCCAACAACTCAGCATCTTCTACTCTAGCATTTTCTCTCTCCGCCACCAAATGTGGCGATAATGCCTCTTTCCACCCGTACATTGTCTTACAAACTAGCATCGAAAACCCCTTCATCATTTCCCCATTCTCACTCGTCCCTCGCAACCTACTCTCCTCGTAAAACCCCAAATTCACAACCCCATTCCCACAACTTCTCCCCATTTCATCCTTAACAACGGCATTCGAAGCCGGAACGGATGCTCTGAGCACGTGATTCGATGCGAAGACGGAGAATTCAGGTTTATTTAAGGAGAAAAATTGGGAGTATTTGTTGTACACGAAGCGTGAATCGGAGTCGTAAGGGAAACCGGTTTGAAGAGGCTTCAAGTAGAGAAATTTGCGGTTTGAGGAAGAAAGGAAGGAAGTGGAAAGCCCGGCGGAGACCAGGGTTTTGCCAAGGGAAGTGTTCGCAGCCCATATGGTGTAGATTGGGTGGGTGAGTGAGTATTCGATGGAAGGTGGTTGTGAATGTGTTGAGAGACCGCGGCGGAGGTGGAGGTGGAGGTGGTGGTAGGGCCGGCGGAGGAGGGCGGCGAAGAGAGTGGTAGCTGGTGACATAGTGGATGGAGAGATAGACCTAGAGAGAGAATGACAGTGAGAAAGCAAGTGAAAGCTAACGGCTATAATTAAGAGAAGGATTAGGAAATGGGGACATGGGCTCATAAGTCGCTGTCGTAAAATACAATTTATAAGTCGGATTGTTATTAAGTCCCATAGCCATTGCGATTTATAAATCGTATTTTAATCACTACGATTTATTGCCTTATATGTCCTATCTTCTCGTTGATCCTTTCTCTCACTCACAAGACAGATATTTTCTTCCCTTTGGAGGTGTTATTTCAGTGAACGTGGTATTTTTTTATATTTATATTCCAATTGAAAATAAAAGTTTTTTTCGATATTGAAATAACCAAGGAAGCAAGTTTAGTTCTCTCTATGTTCTTTCATACATATATGCCTCTATTTGCAGAATCCAATCAAAAAATTACAACTTTGCCTTCTTTCTTGATTGGAAATGACCCAAAAAAGCAAATTTGCAGACTGAGAATTTGTAGATATTATAAGACCATCTCCAAATTTCACGCCAAAATAGTGTAACATCAAATTTACTCCAACCATTACATCATTTTTTACACCAAAAAAGAATATTTTTTCTTTCTTCTATATTATATTATTATCTTCTATTTAAATTTTATTTTTTATATCCTTCAAACAAATTCTATCTTTTTTCTTTTTTTCATATTCATCATATATAATTCACATTCACCATTTATATAATCATTTATTACAACATTAGATATCTTACATTTGTATTTTTCATTTTTAAATAATGATTGCATTTCTTTTTATACAATTATAATAATAATAAAATTAACTTATAAGTTTATATAAATATAATATATACAAAAATTAATATATCAAAAAATAGGATATAAAATTAAAATTATAAAGATCTTACTATAAAAATTAATTATATACACAATATATGATAAATTAAAAGTTCAAAAAAAAATAAAAAGATGAATAAAATAATAATAAATCAAATTTGATGTTGATGATTCATGCACTATAATGGTGCAAGATTTGGTGTTCCATTGGAGCAAAAAAATACCAAATTTAGATTTGGTGCAAAAAATAGTGCACCTTTGAAGATGCCCTAACAAGAAAATCCAATGGCATTCTCTTCTGTTTATGAATATGGCTCAAAATGTCAAAGGCTGGGCATTTCTTGCATTTGGTTCAATTTCCTTTGTGATGTTCATTTATGATGCCATTGTTTCAAAGTTTCTTCCACCATATGATAACTCAATTCTTGCAGCCATACAAAATGACAGGTCAGCACTTTTCACTTTTCAATCCTTGTTGCCTTTACTTGATAGCTAAGATCTTAATTGGTTGATTAGGTAAACATGTTCTGTTTGCTTCAATGATAGAAATCTGTTCATCATGCTCTTTTGCTCCAAGTCAATACCTTAAAACATGTCTTTTTTAATAATGATGGTGTCCGGTTACGCACTCCTCCACTATTCCACCTTATACCTGCTACTACCTCGTACAGGAGAATTTTGTCCATAAGGCTTAGTCAGATGTGATCAAATTATCTAGCCTTCTTTTGCGTCCCACTTCACTTTTTAGCATTCAAGTATTATTTGTGTGGATGAAGTTTATATTTTTTGCCTTTCATCGCTAAAGTGTGTGCTTTGAATTGGTACGTTGAGTTTTAAGTCCTTGCAATATTTAGCGCGTTTCAGTGCTTTTCGCCTTTGCCAATACTAATTTGAAAAGGTATTGCATGGATTACTTGATTCGGATTCTAAGAATTGGCACTTTCTGTGAAAAGCTTGTGTTATGACAGTGTATAAAATTGCATAGGTTGCCTAAAGTTTCAGTTTATATATCGATTTTTATGTGGTTTCTTTACAAATAGATATTTACACCAATTGGAAAAAAATGCTTCAGTTTCTTTCTGTTGATTAGTGTTATTACTTAATACCAATTGGAAAAGATTTTAACTTAGAAAGACCAAAAATGACAATTCTCAATATCAGAGGTTTTTTTGCTTTTAAGGTGCCAACCTACTTGCACTAAACTATCAGTTTAAGCATGACAATTTGGTACTAAGTTAAGATAAATTTCCTAATTTTCTTTATTTGAATATTTAATTATAAAAGAAACTTCAGCAACTGAATTGACTTACATAATAATACTGGTTCAGCTATTAAGAGTATGAAAACTAGTTTGTGACTGGATCTATTATAGGCTGTGATTCAATCATATTAAACATCTAGAAAGGTTCTTATATCAGGCACATTTTGCATGTAAGTTGTTTATCCAATAGACTTTCCTGAGCGGAGGGTCTATTGGAAACAACCTCTCTACCTGTTAGATAGGGGTAAGGTCTACGTACAGACTACCCTTCTCAGACCCTGTTGGGAATAAACTCCATAAAAATAATATTTACGGTATTAGTGATAAACGCGAACAACTAAGTTATGGTTAAATTAGCAAGAATAAAAATGCAGCAAAAATGACACCAAGATTTTACGTGAAAACCCTTCTGAATAAGGGAAAACCCACGGCCAAGAAGAGCAACTAATATCACTATAGCGAGGATTTTACACTGTGTAGTAACGAGTACAAATACTTCTAAGACCACTACACCCTCAAAAAAACATACTCTTTTGCTTTTTCCAACTCACTACAATATCTCTCACACTCTATTTTTCTTCACAGACTATTTTCTTATAGTCTATGGAATACCTTGCTCTCTCTTTTTTCTTTCTTTGTTGGTGTGTAGAAATGAGAGTTAAAGCTCTCCATTTATAGCCAAAACCTCACTCTCTAAATCCTACAATATTTGACAATTTGCACACCCTTTTCACAATCTCAACAAGGTCGGCTACCAAACCAAACCAAATCAATAAAATTGGCTACCAAATTATACCAATTCAACAAGGTTGGCTACCAAACCAAACCAAGTCAATAAAATTGGCTACCAAATTATACCAATTCAACAAGGTTGGCTACCAAACCAAACCAAGTCAATAAAATTGGCTACCAAATCATTTGAATGAGATGGACTCCATATCAATCTCCCCCTCCAGTCTCATTCATCTAGAGGAGGTAGCATTGTCTTCTAGTCTGAGTGTATGCCGACAAGTTCTTTGCATAGCTCAAACTTGTCTCTTTGTACCACCTTGGTCAACATATCAGCAGGATTTTCACTTGTGTGAATCTTTTTGACCTGAAATGATTCGTTCTCCACTTGCTCACGAATCCAATGATATCTGACGTCGATGTGTTTTGTTCTCACATGGTACATGGAGTTTTTGCTTAGGTCTATTGCACTCTGACTGTCGCAATAGACAACATACTCCATCTGTCGCAATCCAAGTTCTTAAAGAAATCTCTTGAGCCATATCAACTCTTTGCCTGCTTCAGTAGCCGCAATATACTCCGCTTCAGTTGTAGACAGTGCGACACACTTCTGCAACTTCGACTGCCATGATGTAGCTCCCCCTGAAAAAGTAAACAAATATCCTGTAGTGGATTTTCTGTTATCAAGGTCACCTGCCATATCAGAATTTGTATAGCCCTTCAAAATTGGATTTGATCCTCCAAAACATAAGCATTCATGTGAGCTTCCTCTTAGATACTTGAGTATCCACTTTACAGCTTCTCAATGCTCTTTTCCTGGATTTTCGAGAAATCTGCTAACAACACCGACTGCATGAGCAATATCTGGTCGAGTGCATGCCATTGCATACATCAAACTTGTGATGGTAGAGGAATAAGGAATCTTGTCCATTCTCTCTTTTTCCTCCATTGTTGTAGGACACAGCTTCTTACTTAACTTCAGATGACCAGGAAGGGGTGTGTGAACCAACTTAGCACTTTTCATATTGAAGTGCTCCAGTACACATTCTATGTATTTCTCCTGTGACAAGTAAAGCTTCCTTTCGTTTCTCGAATGAGTAATTCTCATGCCCAAAATCTGCTTAGCATGACCCAAGTCTTTCATTGCAAAAGACTTATTCAACGGTTTCTTCAACTCATCAATCTTGGAAGCATTTCTGCCCACAATCAACATATCATCCACATATAGCAAGAGGATGATAAAGTAATCATTAGAAAATCTTTGTACAAACACACAGTGATCTGAAGAAGTCTTCTTGTAGCCTTGCTCCCCCACAACAAACTCAAACTTCGTATACCATTGTCTGGGAGCTTGCTTCAATCCGTATAGACTCTTCTTAAGTTTGCATAAAAGATTTTCTTTACCTTTTCCCTTGAAGCCCTCAGGTTGTTCCATATAGATCTCCTCTTCTAAGTCACCGTGAAGAAAAGCAGTCTTCATATCCATCTGCTCAATCTCCAAATCAAGACTAGCAGTCAAACCAAGAATTGTCCGAATATAGGACATTTTCACGACAGGAGAAAATATTTCGTCAAATTCAATACCTTTCCTTTGACCAAATCCTTTGACAACCAATCTAGCTTTGTATCCGGGCTTCAAACTATGTTCTTCAGCTTTAACTTTGAACACCCACTTGTTCTTCAAAGCTCTCATGCCCTTAGGCAATTTCACCAACTCATAAGTATGGTTCTCATGCATAGATTTCATCTCATCTTGTACGGCTTCAATCCATTGATCCTTGTGCTCATCTTCTATGGCCTATGCATAACATTCAGGTTCTCCCCCATTAGTGAGTAATACATACTCATTGGGTAATAACGGGAGGAAGGAGTACGAGGTCTAGAAGACCTCCTGAGTGGAATATCTAACTCGTCCACAGCTTCGTGAGTATGCGCATCTACCTCATCAACATTAGCATTGTTATCACCATCACCATCAATATGTTGATCTGGAATATGGTTCTGAGCATCACCATTATCATTGAGCCGACCAACGTCATCCGCATTTGTATGAGGAACTTGATCAAGATTAACTAAACCTTCAGAACTTGGAGATTTTAGCTTCTCCGCTTTGTTAATATCTTTAATGGTTTGATCCTTCACGAAGATAACATCACGTCTTCTCATGACCTTCTTCTCAATTGGATCATATAGCATGTAACCAAACTCATCAAGGCCATAACCAATGAAGATGCACTTCCTTGTCTTGGCAGTTAATTTTTACCTCTCATTTTTAGGCACATGTACAAAAGCTTTGCAAACAAACACTTTCAAGTGGTCATAGGAAACATCCTTGCCATATCAAACTTTGTTTGGAACATCACTTTGCAAAGCAACCGCAGGGGATAGATTAATAACATGTGCGGTGGTCAACAAAGCCTCACCCCAAAAGGAATTCGGTAATTTTGCTTCAGAAAGCAAACATCTGACTCATTCCATCAAGGTCCTATTCATCCTTTCTGCTAAACCATTAAGCTGAGGAGTCTTAAGAGGAGTCTTCTGGTGTCTGATACCCTCTTGTTTGCAGTATTCGTCAAACGATCCATAATATTCACCACCATTATCAGTACGAATACACTTCAGCTTCTTTCCAGTTTCTCTTTCAACTGAAGCCTGAAACTGCTTAAAGACACTCAACACTTGGTCTTTAGTCTTCAAGATGTAGACCCAAAGTTTCCTTGAACAATCATCAATAAAGGTAGAAAAATAAAGTGCACCACCCAAAGTCCTTGTCTTCATTGGACCACATAAATTTGAATGCACTAACTCAAGCAACTCTATCTTTCTTGAAGGAGGATGAGACTGGAAAGAAACTCTTTTTTGTTTTCCGGCCAGAACATTTAATTCTTTCTCGCTAATATGGCTAAGCCTCTTATACCATAACGTTGAAGAGTTATTGCTCTCAACGACATTCACCATATCAACACAGGTAGAGGTCGTAGTCGAGTATAGACCACGACATTTTTTCCCACGAGCCACAATCATAGAACCCTTAGTGAGCTTCCATTTTCCAGCACCATTGGTAGTGACATATCCCTCATCATCCAAAACACCAACAGAGATTAAGTGCAAATGACCATCAGGTGCAAGTTTTACATTGTTTAAAACTAGTTTAGTTCCAATACTAGTTTCCAAACAAATCGTTCCAATACCAGCCACCCTAGATACAATCTCATTACCCATACTCAAAGTTCCAAAGTCACCCTGAGTATAGGATGAGAAAAATTCCTTCCTTGATGTCACATGAGATGCGGCACCACTGTCCACAACCCAGCTTGACTCATCACAAGCAATATTTATCAGATATGCATCAAGGACGGTAACAAGATCTTCTGTAGTGACAGTGGCCACACGATTGCCATCTTCTTTCTATTCTTCCTTGTCTCTATTCTCCTTTTTTAAAATCCGGCAGAACTTCTTTGTGTGCCATTTCTTCCCGCAATGATAGCACTCAATATCTTTAAGTCCGCTTCTGGATTTGCTTCTATTATATTCTCTATTTTGAGAACCACAATTCTTGTTTCTCCCCCTAGAGTCAGTCACCAAGACATCTGATGAGGAGGAACCTTGAGATTTTCTTCTCATCTCTTCATTTAAAAGGCTTCTCTTGGCAAGATCCATAGGATCACACCATCTGGAGCATAATTTGATAATGAAATTCTAAGAATTTCCCAATAATCTGGTAGGGAACCAAGTAGAAACAAGCTTTGAATTTCTTCATCAAATTTAATGCCCATAGCAAATAACTAGTTCATGATCCCCTGAAAATTATTCAGATGATCTGTCATCACGGAACCATCATGGTATTTTAAACCCAACATCTGCTTTATCAGAAACATCTTGTTGTTTCCAGTTTTCCGAGCATACAAACTTTCAAGGTGCTCCCATAGTGTCCGAACATGTGTTTCTCCAAAAATATGGTTCAAAACATTATCGTCAACCTACTGTCTAATAAAGCCGCAAACCTGCCTGTGTAACAAATTCCACTCTTCATCTGATTTATTATCAGGCTTTATAGTGGTGAAGGCAGGTTGATGAAAATTCTTGACATAGAGCAAATCTTCCATTTTGCCCTTCCAAATGACATAATTTGTGTCATTCAAAATAACCATTCTACTAGTGTTGGCTTCCATCGTTTATCACAAATACAAATACTATTTATTAGGAGACCAAAGTAATTCTTTTCTGATGTGGACGTTCAGACTGTGTTGCAACCACATAGCATACTCAGACAGAACTTTGGCTCTGATATCACTTGTTGGGAATAAACCCCGTAAAAATAATATTTACGGTATTAGTGATAAACGCGGACCACTAAGTTATGGTTAAATCAGCAAGAATAAAAATACAGCAAAAATGACACCAAAATTTTACGTGGAAACCCTTCTGAATAAGGGAAAACCACGGCCAAGAAGAGCAACTGATATCACTATAGCGAGGATTTTACACTGTGTAGTAACGAGTACAAATACTCCTAAGACCACTACACCCTCAAAAGAAAAAATATTCTTTTGCTTTTTCCACCTCAATACAATATCCCGCACACTCTATTTTTCTTCACAGACTATTTTCTTATAGTCGAATACCTTGCTCTCTCTCTTTTCTCTCTTTGTTGGTGTGTAGAAATGAGAGTTAAAGCTCTCTATTTATAGCCAAAACCTCTCAGTCTAAAGCCTACAATACTTTAAAAATTTGCACACCCTTTTCACAATTTCAACAAGGTTGGCTACTAAACCAAACCAAATCAATAAAAATATTTGACAATTTGCACACCTTTTTCATAATTTCAACAATGTTGGCTACCAAATCATGTCAATTCAACAAGGTTGGCTATCAAACCAAACCAAGTCAATAAAATTGGCTACCAAATCATTTGAATGAGATGGACACCATATCAGACCCCTCCTGGTGGGAACATATTGGGTTTGTTGTTGTTATTGTTGTTGTTTGTTTATCCATTCATTTTCCTTGGACAAATGGAGTTGATTTGTTTGTCAAATATCGATTATATTGAAGCGCACATGAACTTAGGATATTATGGAGTCATTTTTGTATTGATGGTAATGGAAAGTAGTTTTGACTTTGTGATTCTTTCGCGTTACAGATATTACTGCTTTCTGGTTCCATTATCACTTCCTATCCTAGTTGTCGCAATATATTTTCACTGGCTCAGCATGAAGATCTTCAAGCATGCATAGCTCAGTCGAGGTATAACAAATCATTTAGTAGTAATCTCATGAATAGGATACTACAAAGCAGATATTATGTGTTGCTATGGTTGTCAGATTGACTAAGTTGCTTACTTGAAAACATCAGATTAGAATAATAATTCACTAAATTAACCACAAGAGGAATTTTTAATATTGCAACAGTTCAGTATATCAACTGAAGCAACCGAAAAGACTGAAGAGCTCCGCCTCTGTGCATCCTATGGACAATCTGGTTAGAGAGGAGTAGCAAGTATATCGGAAAAACAAAGCAGCAGCAACCCTTGATCAAGATTTAGATATTTCCTGTCTTTTTTTTTTTGGTTTAATCTGAACATTGTACATTACTTTGATACTAGACTTCTAGATTTCCTATATGATGAAAAGGTCTATGTCCATTGTCCTTGTACACAATTTTGAGCAACCACTTGGTGCTATGATTAATGGAATTTACCTCTTCATCTTGCAATGCAGTCGCCAACTACTCCTGCTCAAGTTGTATATTTGAAGAAAAAAGACAGTCTGGTGCACTAAGCTCCCGCTATGCGCAGGGTCGTAAGAAAGGCCGAACCACAAGGGTCTATTGCAAGCAGTCTTACCCTGCATTTCTACAAGAGGCTATTTCCACGATTCGAATCCGTGACCTCCTGATCACAGGGCAGCAACCTTACCAGTTATGCCAAGACTCCCCTCCAAGTTGTATATTTGAAGCAACCTCTTAAAAAAATGGAAGATGTATGAGTCTAATAAAGTTGATTTTCTATTCAATTGTATAAAAGTGCTGGCATCAATTTGGCTTAAAATATTACTATACCATCAATGACTTTGTTTTATTCAAGTAAAAATAGCAAGAAGACTAATTCTTGAGAAGCAAATAAAATATAGAAAGCAACAGCTGCTAGATATGATGTAGATGATGAGTTAAAGTTACAGGTTTTTTAAATCATATCTTAGTCTGACAAAATTCAGTTTTCTTATCCTATTCTTTAGACTACCTTAAAATATGTACTTTTGTTGACTTCATTTTCCTTGGAAACCAAGAAATATTATCTAAAGATAAACAAATTCAATATAACATGGTCCAGTGAACTTGCCCAAAAATAAATCTGAGTAAAGAAGAGAAGTATGGAATCTGTTGTTGTATTTGTAGTGCCATTTCCAGCACAAGGCCATCTTAACCAGCTGCTACAATTTTCATGTCTGATCTCTTCATATGGGATTCCAACTCATTTTGTTGGCTTCAAAACTCACATTCAGCAGGCTAAATCAAGAAACCTTCAAGATATGCAGAAAATTCAGTTTCATGAATTCCCAACTCCAGATTTTGAGTCTCCTCCTCCAGTTCAAAATTCCATCTCAAAATTTCCAACACATCTTCAACCTTCAACCATCTTTTGAAGCCTCTAAACAGCTACGCGAACCGTTTTCGAATCTCCTACATGAATTCTCCAACAAAGTGAAAAGAATTATTGTTATACATGACCCTCTTATGTCTTCTGTGGTGCAGGATGTTTCTTCCATTTCAAATGCAGAGTCCTATGCCTTCAATTGCATCTCTGCTTTCACTCAATTGTTTAGCTTTTGGGAAGCTATTGGAAGACCTTTTCCAGTTGAGGGAATGCCAAAAAATCTACCATCAATGGAAGGCTGTTTTTCCTTTGAAATCATGAATTTTATGGCTTATCAGTATGAGTTTATGCACTATAGATCAGGAGATATATTCAATTCATGCAGATTGATTGAAGGAACTTATGTTGATATGTTAAACAAGTTGGAAATGAATGCAAACAAGAAGCAATGGGTTGTTGGACCTATACTACCAGATTTAACAATGGTTGCAGGCAAAGATTCAAGAAACAGGCACAAAAGCTTGGAATGGCTAGATAAACAAGCTCCAAAATCTGTTCTTTACATCTCTTTTGGATCGGCAACTACAATGACCAATGAACAAATTCAAGAATTGGCTATGGGGTTAGAAAAGAGCAAGCAAAAGTTTTTGTGGGTGTTGAGAGATGCAGATAAAGGAAATGTTTTTGATGGAGAAACAAGAAAAGCAAGAATACCAAAAGGGTATGAAGAAAGAATGGAAGGAATAGGTATGGTTGTAACAGATTGGGCACCACAGTTAGAAATCTTGGGACACATTTCTATTGGCGGATTTATGAGTCACTGTGGTTGGAATTCATGCATGGAAAGTATTACAATGGGAGTTCCAATATTAGCTTGGCCAATGCACTCTGAACAACCATGGAATGCTTCACTAATAATTGATATTTTAGAAGTTGGTATTCCAGCGACAGAAGAAGCACACCAAATGGAATTGGTTAACTCATTAACAATTGAGAAAGTTGTAAATAGATTGATGGTGTCTAAAAAAGGGAAGGAGATGAGAAGTAGGGCTGAGAATTTGGGTAGAGAAGTTTGGCAATCAAGAAATGAAGGAGGTGTTTCTCAACTAGAGCTCAACTCCTTCATTGCTCATATTAGCAGATAGATTGATTTTGATTCACCAAATTTGTCTAGTTTTGGTTGTGTATTACACCAGTGAGGCAAAGATTGAGTGAGACACTAGTGAGGTGTCTTTTTATTCAAGTTGCTATCAACTTTTCTATATGATTATGAGGGTTGGAATTTTGTTAAAAAAATCAATCCGATCTTGTTTCACGACTTCTTATCCGGCTGATTTAAAGCATTTGCCGCACTAATTTTAATTGCTAATACGTTTTTATCTTAGCTCTAAGAAACGATATTGAAACAGACAGAACTGTACCCATATGTTAATCAAGAAGATAATCATGGATTCAAGCAACAGCCTCATATTGAACAGATTAGTGAATCTTATTAAAATAATGAATTTCAGTAAGTATTCTATCAACTCAATGACCTCGAGCAAAAACTGGAATTTACACTCTGCGCCACGAAAAACCTAAATCAATGGTACACAGCTTTGCAGCCTCATTTATTCCCAAGTTGTTCAGCCACTTTCCCCTAATAATAATGCTTATATCAAGCAATAAGATCAGGCTGGCACATCAAATCCCACTAATCATACATCAAAATTCATCCCATTTGTTGAGGAAAACGTGAAGAATTCAAAGGATCAACAACAACAAAAAAGAAGTATCAATCTACAGTAACATAGACTCTGGAGTCTCTATGTAGCCTTTGAATGCTTTGAGCCATTGTGCACCAATTGCGCCTAGACAAAAGGAAATAATTAAAGGTTAATCATGAATTGCTTTTTAAAGAAGTGGATATGAAGAACCAACTATCTAATAGTCAGTAAAGTCACTCACCATCAATCACCCGGTGATCACAGCTCAATGTTACAGACATCATACTGGCAAGCGTATACTGGTCTTGGCCCGAACCAGGTATCACCCTTCTCTCAGCTATTTAAGAGCAAGTGGTGATGAGCACAAGATATCACAGCTGAAATTAATCAGTTCAATGAGATGCAAGCTTACCAGAACCAACAGCTAGGATGGCTGATTGTGGAGGGTTAATGATGGCACAAAACTGTTTAATACCAAAAGGCCCTCCCAAATTGCTAACAGTGAATGTCCCTCCCTGTGAAAAAAGAAACAAGAGTTGAATAAAATATACTTTTGTCCAACTATGCAAAAGAAGATATTTAACTGCAATGCACACCTCATAATCCTGTGGTTTTAAGCTGTTCTCTTTTGCTTTCTGGGCTAAGTTCTTCACTTCCTCGGCAATAGTGGATAAACCTTTCTTATCAGCATCCTGCCAACAACGCAGATTTTCCAAGATGAAATATAACCGGTAGTAAGAATCAAGATATATCCAATTATTATAAGCAGTAGACTGGGATGAGAACGAACCCTGACAACAGGAACGTAAAGCCCATTGTCAGTCTGCACTGCTACATTGATATTTATGTTGTGATACCTGTTTGCAAGAAAGAATGCACTATTAATATACACAGCAAATTTCAACTACAGAAGACTTCTTGCTTCATATCTTCCACTTACTGGCGAATGTAATCATTGGTCCATGAACTGTTGCATTGAGGAACTTTTCGAAGAGCTAAAGCAGCAGCCTGCAATGAAGTTACCCAGATCATCTACCTCTGAGACAGGTCACCACAAATAACTGATGACAAAATCTCTCTTATATACCCCGTATTATGTACTTCTCCATTCCAAAAAAACGTTGAAACAGTGGTCAAAAGACCTTTAAGAGTAAAATTTACATATTTACACCGATTACTTCAATATAAGTGTAAAATTTATATATTTAGAAACTATATTAAAAGTCTTGGTTTTTGACAAGACTTTTTCTCTCTTTTCTGGACTCTTCACGAAATACAGAAATGCTAGAATCGACTCCTTGAAACGAGATAACAGGACCATTGCTCTCTTTTCCTTTTTCCTTGTCAGGTGGCACAGTGGATCTAAATGGAGTATTTCATACCTTTATTACAAGATCATTAACAGATAACTTCTTTCCTCCCGAAGCCTCTTGCAATGAATTGAGCTGGCTCCTCAATCTGCAGACCAAGCAACAGGCAAGATGAATAACAGAAAAATAATCAATTCGGCTGTTGAACAATGAAAGTAATACTCACTCCATAAGTTTGTCGACGCATGCATCAACAGTCAAATAGTAATGGGGAATGGTTTGCTTTGACAGCAGCAACCTAGAAGCTGTCACCTGCACAGATTACACCAAAACTGGTATAACTAGGACAAAACCTTGTGCTTGTAAAAGAAGTGGGTAACAAAAGTATAACTAACAGGCTAACACTTAATACAAGGGATTAATTGGAGATAACACGGACAAGCATCTAAAATTGGCTTATTCTGGGAACATGAGGATGCATACCCTAGAGGTGTAAATAGTACCTTTCTTATCTGTGAAACAGGAATATCTGTGTAATCAAGAGATTCCTCAGCCTTAGGAGCTGCTGCAGGGGCTTCCTTTCCGCGAGAAGCTACATTATCGAGAGAAAAATAAAGATTATTGATTCTTCTTTGACAAATCTTTCCTTTCATAAGAAAAAAAAAGGAGACTAGGAACATCAACTAGCATATAAGTAAATATATGCAGACTAGGAAGAATGTTACCAAGATAATCTTCAATATCAGCTTTCACAATACGTCCCTCAGGACCTGTTCCTTTGATGTTTGAGAGAGGTATCTGTTCATGTTCATACAAATGCAGAATTAACCTCAAGGCTAAAACATATCAACCTGAATCATATTTCCGAAACAAATTTAATTGAACAAGATAGTACATTGTGATCTTCCGCTATTTTTCTAGCCAGAGGACTAGCAAAAATGCGATCTGCCGGAGGCGCACTAGGTTTAGAAACTTTTGGCTCTGATGGGGTGACAGGTTTCTCGGCAACCTCTTCTTTGGAAGGAGTTGGAGGAGGAGGCGCTTTTGGTGAAGGTGTAGCATCCGATGTTGAAGGTTGGTAATCTTTAAATTTTGCAATGTCATCTTCCTCTTCAACGGTAATAGCAATCACCTACAGAATTTCCAACATTCATCAAACAAACAAAATTATGATTAATTCTCACAATGATGTAGCTTTTTTGGCATGTAGCTCAAGGCACAATAAGATTCACAGAGGAAGAACTTCTGCTGGGTCACCTATATGAGATTAGGAGCCTATTGTAACTGGCATGATGGATTACATCATAAAATAGGGGAATTGTCAGGTTCATTATTCAGCTATTAGCTAAAATATCAAAGGTTCAGCAAAGCGCCAGCCTAGAAACAAACGACCAACTAGAATATAAGTCAAATGAAGGGACTAGAATAACCACATTAGCCTTTGTGGTGGAATGTGCTGTGTGATGCATCAACTATATCAATGCAGATCTATACAATTATGTAGAGATTTTACATCCACACAGTGCAAATCCTGAACTAACAAGTGAAAAATTCAACAATACAGATAACGGTGAGCCCCTCAACAATACAGATGACAGTGAGTCCCTTTATCACATGGCTTAAGGTCTAAATTATCTAACACCAAGATAAACAGACCAAACTGGTACTCCCAATCAGTTGGATTAAGCATCAATACCTCTCCAACTTTGATACTACTTGCTCCGTCACCGCGAAGAATCTTAGCTAGATATCCCTCTTCCATGCACTCCATCTCCACTGTTGCTTTATCCTATAGGGAAGGAGTAGCATAAATACCAGAATCCAGAAGTTAAGACACATAAGGGAGAACACTCCCTCAATAACATCATGATAAAAGAAGCTAAAAATGATCATACTGTTTCCACTTCACATAGCACTTCACCAGGAGAAACTTTATCACCCTCTTTCTTTAACCATCTGGCAATATTTCCCTGTATTATAAGTATGGAACCACTGAGACACTAAGACAAACATAAGTGGAAAATAATAATGATGCTCAAAGGAGCTTTAGTGAGAGAAGCTACATACCTCTGTCATTGTAGGTGAAAGAGAGGGCATACCAATCTCTTGGTGTGGAGGAAAATCTGAAATAGAAAAGACACAAGATTAATTTGACTCCAAATTTGAGGGTTCTCCCTCTTTGGTTCCATGTTTCCAAATTAAAGCAACTAAGGATAAGAAGGATGCCTCAGGCAAAAAGTTCGAAAAACAGACACAAATACAACTAAAGCAGATAGGGTTAATGTCAATGCAAATGACTCTATTAGTGTGCATTGACATGAAGTTGCCCTCCCATGAACCTTAACTGATAAAAATAGGACTAAAGTTGCAGCGAGTAGATAAATGCTCATTGAAATAGAGCATGGTTTATAAGCATTTTGGAGGATGCCCTGAGAACTGATTTCTAGTTAAATAGCCAAAAGCCAAAGTGACACTAAAAACAAGAACCTGAAGCAGTGGAGAAACACCTCCTTGAAGGCACTTGTGATCTGACACAAAGAAGACAAATCAGAATCTGCTTCAAGAGTCTGATCAAAAAATTATTTTCTAAAAATATATATAAGGGAAGAAGAAGTAAGCCAAAGAACAAACCCTCTCATGAAAGCCATGCTAGCAGTGGAGGCAGATGGAGCAATTGCAGCTCTCAGAGCATTTCCATTATATGTTGCCACACATGACATCTACAGTTAGAAGCACGTTAAGATAATCTGATTGCTGCTAAAAAATCAACAGGAAAAGCAAGCTATAAAAGGAGGGTAACAAAGGAAAAGAGGTTTAGTCACAACCGTGGGAGATACTGCTCTACAGCTGTTGTTGGAGACTGCTGAATCTGAGTTGCATCTATTGAAACCAGACTGGCACCTTAAAATATCTGTAAAAGCCACACATATTTGAGTCATTCATTACAAGGAAAAAAATGAAAACATCGCCACCGTGAGAGAGCCAATAACAAGAAAATAACTGACCATTAGATGTTCAGAATGACAAACATATGATAACGTGCATAATTCATCAACAAGAATAATTAAATCTACTAATATACCATCTCCCTTCTCCACAGAAGGCCTCGTGCCATTACTGAACCAGCGG